TTTATGTAAGATTTTCAAAACAACTTCAGCATCACAATTTTTAAGATTTGGTCTATCGAATAGACTACCAATAATCTGGCGAAAAGCCATCGGCAAACCCAGCCGAGTAACAAAGCAAACTGAGCGTTCAACATAACATTATTTTCGCTGCTATAACGCAGCACGAAAAGCTTTTATGAGACGAACTTACTATTAAAAAAAGCCGAGATTTGAGCTTTCGAATTATTGCTGAAAGTTGAAGAAAAAAAGTTTTTCCAGCAAAAAAAGCTTCCAGAAAACTGTATATGCAAATGGGTACAAGGCATCGCGAAAGGATAAACGCAATCTAAGAAGCAAGTTATTAAGTGGTGGAAGCAGTAAGAAATTACACAAAAGTGATTGTGAAATAAAATGTTGCTAAAAAGAAAGTCATAGAAAATAGCACAATTCATTGGGTATTTATCAGAAATGTACCAATCCAAACACTTTTGTATAAATTCTACCTTATAGTGCTCAAAATGCTTCGTTTTCAATTCCAACGCTGCACCCTTCAAGGAATCGACGTACGCCTTCTCGCTACCGTCTTCGGGAGAACAAAGCGCTAAAAGCAGGCGATACATAAAGGAGTTGATAGTCATTAGGAAAACTCAACGAGAATGTTAAAATAAATTTCTTGTTTATTAGTAAAATTTCGGAAAACTTTTTTCAAGACAATGTGAAATGGTTTTCAGTATGGAAAATCGTTGATAACTTGAATGTCGGGTTTTTTCTTGTGCTAAAGAAATGTCACCATAACAATGAAATTATAGTCTCTTCCAATTTTAAAACTTAAAACGATTTTCATTCATATGAAAGCGACCAACTCATGCATGTAAAACAACGGAATGGCAGCACTAGTGATAATGAGGACGATAAATAAAAGCGAAATTAGAAACAATCACTCAATAAAGGTGCTGTAAGTCCGACAGTGAACGAATTCATATACAAAGAGCAAACCAAATATTGTTGGAGATGTGGAGCCACACTTCTAACGAGAAGAATAGAAGTAAGTGTTTGAATTATTGAAGGGTTGCAGGTTGGCGGGATAACTGATTGCTTAGCGTCATGTAGTCACCAAGTAAGACATTTTGGAGCGCAAAAGTAAATTTCAATCTGTTGTTTCTCGCAAATTTGTGGGCGATACCTATATGAGAACAAAGAATCCCAATCAGCGATGCTTAAAATATTCACATCTCCATCATAGACAGTTTATCCGTTTACGTGAAAGAGAAAATTGTATCTCTCATTGAACTGTTCTCAAACTTTGACTGACCAACACTAGAGTCGAATGGCACACAGCTCGAAATCGTTTGGAGAAAACTTGCCTCCTGGAGAAATACTGACGTGGTAAATTAAGGATAAAAAGGATGAAACTCTCGGCGTTGACCGATCCCTGAGGGATGCGTCTTGCATTCGTCTTCAATTTCTAACTTCGTTTGAAGTCATAATGCATGTCTGGCCTTGACAATGACTCGCGGTGGCCTCCCGCTGAACCGAGTCAGTATTGCTCATCCTCCTAGACAAGTCTGAGACCAGTCTGATACCAATTTACCGACCCCGAGGGCATGGATGGCTCGGTGAGTCCATGAGCGCGAGATCGAACCACTGACCTCGAGTGCGACGCAGAGCACGTCTAATCACTGCGCCACATGCGATCTTTTGGTAAAATTAGATTTACATTGAAACAACTTGCCACCTTACACGGATCATTCGAAGAAGGATCGAAAAAAAAGAACTGTGTGCAGCTTAAACTCATCAAACAAAATCATCAGCTAATTAATAGAATCCCAGCAGTAATATTTCTGCCTGAACACCTCCTCATTTCGTAGTATACTGACAACATGCTTTTTTGGTTTATATTTTATGACAAGATGTCACACGCATCTTACTGCGCGAATCTCAGCAAATCTTGCTCTTATTTTGTTTCTTGGCATCTAATATCCAAGGTAATCTTTGACGTTTGCGTGTGGTTTCGAGTGTGCCTGAAGATGTAGATGAAAGCTGATTGAGTCGATTGTCTCTGGATTCCTGAGCAGTCATGCTAAGACGCCCTACATGGATTGGAAGTAGTCGCCTTGTACCAGACAAGCCCGTCATCAGTGATCCCGACCATGGAGAGATTATAGAGTTGATGAACTCAAAGCGGGATAGAGCCAGAGCGTTAATAGTTTGGAGAACTGTCATGATGGACAAAATCAGTACTATATCTACGCGCTCTCTCGAAAATCAGGCAACACTTCGATAACACTGGTGGCCGTGAGTCACATCTATGAGACATATAGTAAGATTATTTTCATATATTTCATCAGTAAGTAATTAGGCCGACTGTTGAAACTTGAAGGTTTAACACAAATTTAGCGATCCTTCGATTCATTGACATTAATTAAAGTGTCAATCAACAAGTTTTTGAGATGAGAAGGACAAATAAGGACAAAAAGGAATTCTTAGGCTAGGACATGACTTCTTACAAGTCCTGCAATAGAATTGTATTCAATCAGCCCACTAGCAGAAGACCAGACGCATTCATATCAAGTTGAGGAAAAAGTTCCTTAACACTCGCAAAGAATGCAAAATCCATGTTTTTTTCATACACTATCGGTTATTGCAAATTATGGGAATATTTTAGTAATATTTCCATGAGAGCTCCAGCGGTAACGCTAGTTATGGTGCGTCATACTGATTTACTCCTTGGATATCAAGTGATGACGATGGACAAAATTGAGCTCGGAGTTTTGATACGCTATTGTTGGAGGCGACAATCTTTCGATATGGGACGCTGCGAAGGAGATCTGTGGTGCCAAACGTGAACGAACTGTGAGCCATGCAACTAGTGCAAAGTGGAACAAACGACGTTGAAAGTGGTGATCTCAGTTTCGAAAACCAACTTCGCTCCGGCCGGTCACTGAAATTGAACAATGAGATCTGCACGCAACTTTGTGCGGAACTGTCATCAAGCACTCGTGAATTGGCAAAAAAACTCAGCGTCGAACAAAAAACGGTCTGAAATAGTCTTCAACAACTTGACTTGTCCACAAGAAGCTTTGTCAACATCCGCACGAATTGACTAGTCGAAAGTGCGCGCTTTTTCACCAAGACAATGCCAAGCCTCACATAACAAAGGAGACTAAGGAAAACTCTGATGATTTGGAGGTGTTGAGGTCTTGCCGTACCCGGCCTATAGTCCAGATGCTAGGCCGTCCGATTATGGTCCAGTTCCGTTTAATAAAACATTTTCTGCGTGGACGGCGATTCAAGACAATTGGTCTAGTTGAAGAGGTATGTCAGGAGTTTTTCGATTCAAAGCCCAAGGAATGGCGATTTTGAGCAAATCCGGACGCTTGAGATCGTTGGCAAAAAAACGTAGACAACGATGGTCTGCATTTTGAAGAATATTTATGTGGCTTTCAATTGAATTTCAGCAGGTGCTAAAGAACTTCTTTTACAATCTGGTAGTCGGCAAAGTTCCATGTACCTCTTTTACAATGAAGTAGCCACCTCATGGATGATGTCAATTAAAAAAATGCCTTCGTACAGATGAGACATTTTAATTTTCTAGAACAGTCCAAAAAACCATTTAAAATATTCAGTTCCATAGCGCTCCGAAAAACAACCTCAACATGGCGGTCGTTCAAGCTCAATCTTAAAAATTAGCGGTTTCATGAAAAGTAAAGAGCAGATGTCGCGACAGTTCAATTTAGAGACCGAAGAAACTATAAACAACCAGAAAAATTCTCTTCGGAAGTGTTTACTCTTCTCAGTGGAACTGAATCAACATTCAAAGTTCTTGACACTGGTCTGACACATTGATGCGAGCCGTAGTATTTCACAAATGTCAGAGAGGTATCCTAAAAGTATGACAATATGTGGACTCTCGTTGCATGGGGTGTTTTTGATTTAAGAAAATTTCACTTCAATGATCTTCTGGTACCAGCCCCAACCTAAGAAACAAATGACATTGTCGTTGACAATTTTTGATAAACATTGTCTAATTTGTATTACTTTATGATTCCACTAGTATTACCACAAGGTCACAACAAGGCTGCCATGATATTTTGGAAAAAAATAAAATTTTTCTCGACCATCAAATCATTAATCAGATGGATTCTGTGAAGAACTCACAATCTCAGTGGTGATGGTACCTCAAGTATTTGAATACAACTCAATTGTGCCTGATCAAAAGACAAAATTAGCATATGAGATAATTTGGTACCTCCCGCATTGTTGCATTCAAAATAAGAACAAGTATCGAAACATACAGATTCTACGGAAAAAAGTTTCTAAAAAACTTTCTGACCTATAACCCTGGATGTGACATATTGTAGTGTGAGTCCCTCTTCGACCGGACAGCAACCAACCATAAGAGGATCCTAAATAGGACCATTATTGAGTGATAAGGTAGGATGTGTCATAAAGAAGTAAAGCAGTGAAGAAAGATTTTGGTCAAAAAATACCCAAATTTCGGACCAAGACATGAGGAATAAAACTTGAGCATAATCTTCATGGAAACCAGAACTTATTCAATGTGCAAACATAAAAACTGTCTGTGTGGATCCTGACGACAGCGGAGGACAAAGATAGAACTCTATAGTGATAAATTGTTCAACGAAAGAGAAGCAGCATTTTTTGTGTAAGTACTAGTCATTACAGTCTCCATTGAAAAGTAGGAATTACAGCTTAACAAAAAAAAGGAAGTCTCTATCTAACCAAAACTCGTGTAAAAAATTGACAAAACAAAAGTTGAACAATGGTATTTCCAGCTGGCCATGACAGTATTTTTTCAGCGATTGATTGAATGATTTAAAAAGCTCCAGCAAAATCAGTAGAGCTCCATTCTTGCAGGATACGATGAAATTTTGTTAGTATTACTAGGAGAAGCTCAACTGAGTTTATAAAGCGAAATCGCATAGCGGACCAAACGCGTTAAGGGTTGGTGGCTTTTTGCTAACATAGAAATGTTGAAGAATGAGTGGTGGCGCAAATGTGCCTCGGTGGTGTAGTGCTGGTAGCACGCGTCCCCGGTATGGATGAAACGTGGGTTCGATTCATGTCTAAGGCCGTATTTTTGCTCACCACTAAATTCTTTTAAAAATATATGAATGATCATAACACTGCGAAAAATTCAGCAAAAATACTAGAAATTTCATTAGCATTAATTCCAGATGAGGACAAATTAGCTAATGAGATGACGAAAATCTAAGCCTACTTCAATAAGAAATGTTCAGTCAAACAACAGAAATAAAAGTTTGTACTTTGTATCTCGGATGGGTTTTTTCGCAGGGATAAAAGCCGGCTCAAAAGTTGGGTTTTGAGTTACAATGGGTCAGTGGACAGCACCACCCCGCTCTATCCACCCTACCAATGCAGGCCAATTAGTGCATCGGCACTGGAAAACGATCCGCGTCGACCAAGCGTCGATTGTTGGCCGGAAAAAAAAACGCCTTCCATGATAGATACGAACATTTAACAGTAAAATGTGCACAAATACGTCAAACTGACGCTATTCATCCTCCTATTGGCATCATAGTCCTACTATGAAACTTGACAAGTATTCTTCCAATCTTTTTTTCTAATATATGCATACATATATCCATAATATTGAGTAATATGCAAAACTTCGAACGTCAGGCGGGAATCAAATCCGCATCCCACCCTTTTTGGTGGCGCGTGTTAACCAGTTGCAGAAAGAGTGGTAACTGAACACGAGCCTCGGTTTTTCAATTGATTAATACGAGCTCATGGAAAGGGTGAATTTGCGGTTTCGTTTCTCGTCTGACTTTGGAACATTAGTATACCACTCAAAATTCTTGGATATATATTTGTAGTACAACATCATTGCTAAAAGCGTTTGGATCAGGGAAAAAAAGCTTAACTGATCATATTTACATACAGTTTGATAATTGTCGTGCCCATTAACAGTTTTGAAACGGTTGTTGTAAGCTTTCATAACAGATAGCACACAGTTTTACTCCGATTTTCACTCATTACAGAACTTTTTTCGCTCTCTTAACGGTACATATTTTTGTTTTTTTCAGTTCTCCAAAGCACATTCTTTCTTGGAATTCCGTACACGCTCTTCAATCTTATACAAAATGCCCTTCTCTTGTATTCTGATGCTGTGAAAGAAGATGCAGACAAAGCATTAGTTTTATTTTTCATACAACTCAAGTTTTACAGCTGAAGTAGATTCAGCTTGTAACACCAGCCTTGAATGGTCGGCTGACTAACCACCGCATGAATTGCTCTACGGAAACATTCCATTCGCACGACGGAGACTTCTCTCCAGCGTATAAGAACTGCTAAGTGTCCACGATCGAGTCCAACAACGCTGTAAAACGAGCGTCTAAAGCTCGAGGAAACTACTTACAAGTACCACATAAGTTGTCGATAAGGAATGAAGGTCGACAAGTTTGAGCTATAGCTCAAAAAAGAGTGTAACCATATTAACTCCATGAGAACATTACAGTGTAACTTATCAACTCCAGAGAACATTTACAAGACAACGAAACGAACAAAAGCAGCGTGAGGACGTAGGTATGTCCAAGTGAAGAACTATCGCTCGCAAGGAACAAATTGTGCTTAAATGTAACCGCAAGAAAGCTGAGATATAAGCAGAACTTAAACTCTAAGGAGCTACAAAAAATCTGATACTTGAGCGAATCAGATTCAAGCCACTTTGATCAAATTCTCATGAGCTGTCTCTAAAATCTGAGCACATTTTTACCTAAGTTCATCATCATTCCATCTTAAATAACCGAAATTGTAGTATTCAAAGTGAAAATAGAGACGTTCAAGTAATTTTCAATGAGGCGACAATATGTGCTATAATTAGCGCACGTCAGTCTGAAGTATACTTTCTTGGTTTCAGTCCTAACAATAAGCTACGCTCATCCGAATGGCTTGCGAATGGTGACGCTAAGAAGTAAGGCTGCACCACAAGTCGTTTAAAACTTTTTTTTACAAGGTTCTCATACACTATATAAATATATAACTATCCAATACACCTAAGAGAATGTGGTAACACTAATGTACCTCGGTGATGTAATGGTAGCACGCGTCCCCGGTATGGAGAAAAGCGGGTTCGACTCTCGTTTGAGGTCGTATTTTTGCACACCACTCCATTCTCTTAGGTGTATTGGAAACATCGTATCACTGCGAAAAATGCAGTCAAAACATCAGAAATTTCAAGTATTACTTATTCTACTATTCTCACAGACCATATTGAATGTTTATAGCGAGGTTTGAAAACAGTCAAATGGATAGATGCCTACATCATCACTACCAGCCGCAATCTATCGAGTGAAAAAAATGATGATAACGCCGTATCATGTGCTATAACCATAACGTCTCCCATCCCTGCTATAAATTAGCGTTCAGTGTGGGACGTGTGCCACTGATGCGGTGGGCGCTACCGTCGGGAAAGTACGTAAGCCACTGACATTCCAATATCAAATAGGCTTTAAGCACTTTCAAAAACCATCTTCAATGTTTATAGCAATGCCTAAAAGCTGTCGACTAAAGGATTTTCTACAAAAATTCCAAGCAGAATTAATCGGTTTCATGACATTGTCTTCAAAACGATAAGTGTATTTTGATCCAACCAAATATATTTCGTTACATATAAAAAACTTTTATTTCGCAATTTCACTTATTTCTACATGTAACGTCAATCCGTCTAAAATAAGATTATCACATGTTGTTCATTCTTGAGAAATTTCCGCGTTTTTCATATTCGCTTGTGTAACGTGTCATTTAATAGCGACATAGCTCAATCGTTGTTTAATTGAATCGTTCCGTAAGTTTTAGTATTAGCGCAATAAATACCAAATTTATCAGCCAGAAGTAATCAAAATTGCATGATTTTCATTTCGGTCAATTGCGCATTTTCTTGCGAACATTTTGGTGTAGATCTTTCCTATACTCGTAGCTGTAGTGGTAACAGATTTGTTTGCTATTGATGCACGAATGGCGCCTAGGGAAAATGCTAGTGAAGCGGTGCGCAAGATTCCTGTGGAGACGGCTTAAGCGCAACTGATCTTCCAAACTGTTCTCTCCAGTTTTGAACTCCGCGAACTATTCCCTGGCTGTTCTTTCTGCAGCCGCATCATTGCCCCAAACTACATTAATCTTGCGCTTTTTCCCTGCGTGCCACTCATGTTCGAGTAGCAAGCGAATTTGTTCCCAAGACAACTCCATTCCAAGACAAGTCTAGGCAAGTTGTACACCAAAAAGTTTACAAGAAAATGCGCAATTCAAAGATACCAAGCTCCTGCAATTTTCATTATTTCTAGTTAATAGATGTGGTGTTTGTTGCTTCAGCGCCAAAACTATGGAACGACCTAATACCTGTAATAGAATTAGGCTTCAACTTTGATATGTTTTATCTCAAAGTATATTCTTCTCTCCTTACTCGAAAATTACTGAATGGAAAAACATTAGATATCAGGTAATGCTAGCACATGTATATAAACAATCTATTGTGCCCTAAGCCCCCACAAAACTTTACCCATTGAGGATCAAGCGTTTTCAAACGTTTTACGCATAGCCAGTAGCATTTTTGTCGTGAAGTGCACAAGCATGCGACGCACGGCACAACAAAAAAGTGCCCCATTAAATTTTGTGCTAACTGTATTTGTTTATTTATAATGCTTTCTTGAAACTCGTGTGGCGCAGTGGTTGGAGGTACCTTGAGACTCACACGTGGTCGATGATTCAATCTCGCGTCTGAGACCTACTAGGCCTTCCATCCCCCTGAGTCGGCGTACTGATACCACTTTTGTCTGGATAATTAGCAAAACTTAGCTGATGCATCAGTAAGCCAACACGAGTTATGATAAATCCCAGATATGTATTTAGTCACTTCGAACGATGTTCAATAAAACCGAGGGCATGACGCTTCCTCTGAGAATTGAAAAAAATGCCGAGAGCTTTATCATTCATTGCGTTTCAATTTTGTATCGCCGAGAGCCCTATCCTTTATTGCGTTTTTATGTTGCATTAAATTGTAATTTGCTCATTAATAGCCAATACCATTACGGTACTTGATGTACGACTTTGTGTGTGATAGTTGCTGAGGTGCAAATATATCTATTGACAAAAAAAATGAAAGAACACAATATGGTCAAAGAATATCGATTTTTTACAAACCACAAAGCCTCAACTGGCTTGGCACACAATGTTCGTAAAGGGATGAATATTCATGCTCTCTCACACTCACCCCTCGCTTCAATTGAGGAGTCAAAATCAGCAATGTTGTTAAGCAGATTGAAGAGGAAAGGACAAGAATAAGTGAGGAACTGGAGATTGTGAACCTTTCCAGGAGAAAATGTTTTTGATGATATAAGGACGCGGTCCGTTTGATGTAAAAGCTAGCAAATCACATGAAGTTACCGTTCTGCTAAATCTCTAGACGTTGATTGATAATGATGGAAAACACGAAATGAAAATCTAGAAGAAATATGTGGACTGCAAAAACCTGGAAAAGTTACATCACATTAAATATTTCAGAAAGACATAAATTATCAGATCATAATGTTTTAAGCGAGGTCTGAGAAAACAGTCGAATATGAATGTATTATCAAAAATACCAGCCTTGAGCAATCGGCTGGTAATCACTGCAATGTCCAAAAAAACTAAACATGCACTGATATGTTATCTCTGCCGTGTGTCAAGTCAATTTTCACTTTACACGTGACAGTCTAACATGTTTTTGAACGATTCCTTTAAGTAAGGAGGTTTTCCCCCGAAAGGGATCGGTTCAGACGAAAATGACGAGGCTGTAAGGACGATACACGTGTATAAGTGCCTATAAAAGACTCAAACAGTACTTATTTCATCTCTTCACGGACCTCTTCATAATAAGCAACTCAAATATCAAGAGAATCACCGCTAAAGATAAGCAACCAGCATGACGAAAATGCAAAGAAACTCTCCCTACAGAAAAACGAAGGTTGACCACGCCTCCCTCATACTCGCTAAACGATTTCCAAGTTGCGAATAACAAAAACTTTGAGTTAAACTCAAGCCATCATGTGGTAGGCTTTCCCGGTTTTTTGTTTT